GGTGGTCTCCCATGCCGACAATGCTTAGCTTTTGAGACTGGGCCGAGACAAACAGGGGTGGTTTTGCCACTATCTGTCTCTGCACAGCAACCCTGAAATTCCTCGGTGGTCTCCCATGCCGACAATGCTTATCTTTTGAGACTGGGCCGAGACAAACAGGGGTGGTTTTGCCACTATCTGTCTCTGCACAGCAACCCTGAAATTCCTCGGTGGTCTCCCATGCCGACAATGCTTAGCTTTTGAGACTGGGCCGAGACGAACAGGGGTGGTTTTGCCATTATCTGTCTCTGCGCGGCGACCCTGAAATTCCTCGGTGGTCTTCCATGTTGAGACAAACAGGGGTGGTTTTGCCATTATCAGTCTCTGCGCGGCGACCCTGAAATTCCTCGGTGGTCTCCCATGCCGACCTTGCTTAGCTTTCGAGACTGGGCCAAGACGAACAGGGGCGGTTTTGCCATTACCTGTCTCTGCACAGCGACCCTGAAATTCCTCGGTGGTCTCCCATGCCGACCTCGCTTAGCTTCCGAGACTGGGCCGAGACGAACAGGGGTGGTTTTGCCATTATCTGTCTCTGCACGGCGACCCTGAAATTCCAAAATTCGTCTCACAAGTAGATAAATCCTTACTTTGCCCACAAGAAGGCAGCATTGAGCAAAACCAGCACTGACCAGAAATGCAAATCTCTCTGCCCCACAGTGGGATACGGCTGGGCAGGAGCGCTTCCGCACCATCACCTCCAGCTACTACCGAGGCGCGCACGGCATCATCATTGTGTACGATGTGACAGACCAGGTGAGGTGGAACTGAGCCTTGCATTATTATTCAGGAGAGCTTTTCTATGCAGGCCATACAAGTTGCCCTGTACTAAATGATTCACAAGGTTACTTAGAAAAATTCTTAGGGACTGTGGTTCATACGACTGCGTCTCGCTTGCTGAAACGAGGGTCCCGCTACGTGATTTTGGATCGTTTTAATGTGTCGCGTGAATACTTCGGCTTTGCTTCTGTTCTGTTTTTAGACTTCTGTCCCATCCTGTTGGTCGTATTGACTCAGTGTAATCCACCTTGAGACCAAGTGAAAAAGGCGGACTAAAAATAACTGGCCGTGGCCGGGAGGGCACGGTATAAATATAATAAATTTTAAAAACGTTAATTAAATAATCGATTAAAAAATCTAGAAACAGCAAGGGAGCCTACGAGATTTGCCGGAACTTGTGCTTCTTTCGTACAGACTAAACTCACTGGGAGGTTCGCCTACAACCAAATTGATTTCTTATTTATTAGCAACAGCAAGAACGGTTATTGCAAAAAATATATATATATGGAAGGATGCATCAAGCCCAACTCTTTGTATGTGGCAGAATAAGTTTTGGGAGCATTTTATACTGAGTAAAATTACGAGCTATCCCACGACAAATAATATACATAACTATCAAAGAGATTTTCAAGCCTTTTGGCCTCCTGTAGTGGAGGATTTATCAGGAATTAATATAATCCCGGATAATGCGTACTATCGAGATCTACTATATTTTTGATCGATTAAAAAATCTAGAAACAGCAAGGGAGCCTACGAGATTTGCCGGAACTTGTGCTTCTTTCGTACAGACTAAACTCACTGGGAGGTTCGCCTACAACCAAATTGATTTCTTATTTATTAGCAACAGCAAGAACGGTTATTGCAAAAAATATATATATATGGAAGGATGCATCAAGCCCAACTCTTTGTATGTGGCAGAATAAGTTTTGGGAGCATTTTATACTGAGTAAAATTACGAGCTATCCCACGACAAATAATATACATAACTATCAAAGAGATTTTCAAGCCTTTTGGTCTCCTGTAGTGGAGTAGGATGAGATGATGAGGATGATTAGACAGTGTCACAGATGCAACGGACATGAAATTGAGCAAACTTCAGAGGACGGCGGAAGACAGGAAGGCCTGGCGTGATCTGGTCCAGTGTCTCGATAGTACACATTATCCGGGATCAGGAATTAATATAATCCCGGATAATGCGTACTATCGAGATCTATCGAGATCTATTATATTTTTGAAATGTTATCACTTTAATATTCAGATGTTAGCAGTTTTTATAGTTCTTCATGATAACTAGTATGGTTATGTAATATTTCTTGTATTTATTAATTAAAAACTTTTAAAGAAAGAAAGAAAGAAACAGCAAAGGCACTGAAGCTTAGGCAGTTCGCTCTATTCCTGCCCCCCTCCAACCCTTCGTCTGGCTCAGTATTGGCCACCACACCACCTAAAAAGACCTCTGAAAGAACAGAAAGGTAAACGTGTACTAGACAGACAGATAACAGCCATGGGGCTGCACTTTCTCGCCCTCCCACCAAATCAGCCACGGGAACGGAGGGGAAACGCCCTGTCCCTCTGACAGAGCGCGGAAACGGGCAGCAGGAGCTTTTCATGGCATGGCGGCAAATAATATCCCATTAAAAGGTAAAGGTTCCCTTGCTCGAAAGCCAGTCGAATCCGACTCTAGGGTTGCAGTGCACATCTGCGTTTCAAAGCCGAAGAGCCAGCGCTGTCCGATGACGTTTCCGTGGTCATGTGGCCGGCATTACTAAATGCCAAGGCGCACAGAACGCTATCACCTTCCCACTGAAGTGGTACCTATTTATCTACTTGCAATTTCTTGCTTTCCAACTGCCAGGTTGGCAGGAGCTGGAACTAGAGACGGGAGCTCACTCCGTCGTGTGGCACACTCGGGTCTCGAACTGCTGAACTACCGACCTTCCACAGCCTGCAGTTCAGCGTCTTAACCACTTGAGCCACCGCAGCTCAATATCCCATTAAGCATCTGTTAAAGGGGCAAGGCGTTTTTCTCCAGGCCAGCTGGCAACCACAGGGTAGCCTTCTCTCCTTTCTCGACTATTCCCCCTCCTCTTTTCTGGCATATATCTGGAGCAGCAGAGTCCATCATGTGAAAGGTACGGGAGAATCCTATAAACCCCCAGGATAAGAGCCCTGCTGAATCAGACCAGTGGGGGTCCATCCAGTCCAGCCTCCTGTCTCACACAGGGGCCAACCAGTTCCTGCACAGGAACAACATCAGGGCATACAAGCCAAGGCCTCCCCCTGGTAACAACATCAGGAGATGTTGGATCAGGCCAATAGTCCACCTAGTCCAGCAACAAGAACTTGTGGGCACTCAATGACAATACAAGAACTTGTGGGCACTCAATTGCTGGGCAGTCGAGTTAGAACAGATAAAAGGAAGTCCTTCTTCACCCACAGAGTGATGAACACATGGAATTCACTGCCACAGGAGGGGGTGGTGGTGGCTACAAGCATGGACGGCTTCAAGAGGGAATTGGATAAGCATATGGAGCAGAGGTCCCTCAGTGGCTATGAGCCACAAGGTATAGATAGGAACTCTTGGTCTGGGGCAAGGGATGCTCTGTCTTCTTGGTGCTTGGGCGGGGGGCAACAGTGGGAGGGCTTCTAGTGTCCTGGCCCCACAGCTGGACCTCCCGATGGCACCTGGTATTTTTCGCCACTGTGTGAGAGTGTTGGACTGGATGGGCCACTGGCCTGATCCAACATTGGCTTCTCTTATGTTCTTATCCTGTCTCACACAGTGGCCAACCAGTCCTGTTTTAAACCTAAGCTACACAACAGGGTGTAGAGGCCGAGGCCTTCCCCTGAGAGGAACATCAGAAGAGCCCTGCTGGATCAGACCAGTGGTCCATCTGGTCCAGCATCCTGCCTCACACAGTGGCCGGCCGGCTCCTCTGGAGGGCCAACAGAAGGGCATACAAACCAAGGCCTTGTCCTGAAGTTGCGTCCAGGCACTGGCATTCAGAGGTTGACTGCCTCTGAATGTGGAGGTTCCCCTTAGTTGCCGCGGCAAGTCGCCACTGATAGACTTCTCCTCCATGAACTGGTCTGATCCCCTTTTAAAGCCATCTATGCCTGTGGCCATCCCCACGTCCTCTGGCAGCAAATTCCACGTCTTAGTCACTCTGCATAAAGAAATAATTCTTTATATAGGGAGTATATACAGTCTGTATACACACACACACGACATAATGTATAACAGTATTCAGGGGTCATTTCGTAGAAAAAGAGGTGCAGGAGCTCATTAGCACAACTCATTAGCATAACTCATTTGCATATGCCACATGGGAAAGAGCAGGTAGAGAAAGAGGTACTTTTCTCCCTTTCTCACAATACAAGAACTCGTGGGCACTCCATGAAATTGCTGAGCAGTCGGGTTAGAACGGATAAAAGGAAGTACTTCTTCACCCAAAGAGTGATTAACACTTGGAATTCACTGCCACAGGAAGTGGTGGCAGCTACAAGCATAGACGGCTTCAAAAGGGAATTAGATAAGCATATGGAGCAGAGGTCCATCAGTGGCTATTAGCCACAAGGCATAGATAGGGACTCTGGGGCAAGGGATGCTCTGTCTTCTTGGTGCTTGGGGGGGGGCAACAGTGGGAGGGCTTCTAATGTCCTGGCCCCACTGGTGGACCTCCTGATGGCCCCTGGTATTTCTGGCCACTGTGTGACACAGAGTGTTGGACTGGATGGGCCTTTGGCCTGATCCAACACTGGCTCTGCTTCTTGCTCTGACTGAGGGCTGCTGGGAGCAGGGGGCGGGGCTTGTTGCTTGTGCCCGCCCCCTGGGCTCTTTACTGCCGGAGCTCCGCTCCTGTGCGCTCCTGCAGGAAACAATCTCTGGGTAACAAAGAAAAGGGGTCCTTACCAGGTTGGGGGGGGGGAACGGAGAGAAGGAAAGACATTGTCTGGGGGAGGTGAGTGACTCATGTCCTCGGGGGAAAGCAACAAGCGGACGGCGGGAAAGGTGGAGGAACTGTGGGGACAACCAGGGGTATTTTGGGGCAGGAACGCACAGGAACGGAGTTCCGGCTGGCTCCCGAGTTGGCCACGCCCAGCAGGAACTCATTAGCATAATAGGCCACACCCAAGAGCAGAAACTCATTAGGTTTGGCAACATTAGGGGTGTGTGGCCTAACATGCAAAGGAGTTCCTGCTGCAAAAAAAAGGCCCTGGGGTTTGACCACAAACAAGGTCAACAGAATAAGAAGCAGAAGGTGGGTGTGGCTGGATGACCACACTTCTGGTAACATGGGGGTGCGGCCTAATGTGCTAATGAGCTGAGCTTTCATGGGCGTGGCCTAATATGCTAATGAGTTTCTGCTGTTGGGTGTGGCCTATTATGCTAATGAGTTCCTGCTGGGCTTTTTCTACAAAAAGAGCCCCGGGGACACCCGATTCTGACCGGCAAGGACCCTTCTTTCTGACCCTCCTTCCGCTTTAGGACTCCTTCAACAACATGCATCTCTGGCTGGAGGAGATCAACCGCTACGCCAACGAGAACGTCAACAAGCTGATCGTGGGGAACAAGAGCGACCTCTCCAGCAAGAAGGCCGTGGACTACACCACGGCCAAGGTGCGAGCCCCGGGGAAAGGAAGGAGTATGGTCATGGCAGCCTGGCTGCAAAGAACGGGAAAAACAGGCAGATTCCCTGATGTGTAGCTTAGCCTTAAAGCAGGAGTCCCTGACGGGGTGACCACGGGCACAACCGCCCCCCCAGCACCTTTCCTGGTGCCTGCTAAGTGTCGCTAGAAAGTAGGCAGGGGCCACCACACCCATGAGTATCTTCCCTGCGTGACCGAAGTCGAGCTGTGTGTACGGTTAAGAAAATAAATACGGGAAAGGCATCCTTTGAAAAAGAACTTCGACCTGAAACGTTGGGAGTTACTATTAGATTTATGCGTACTATTAGGACTCTGCATCTCGTGGTTGGCTCCGCCTCCCAGGGCAGCCATTTTGTCACTGCCTTGGCCTCCCGCGGCAGCCATTTTGTGGTTAGGCCCCACCACCCAGTGTCAGAATTCCAAAGGTGCCCGCAGGCCGGGAAAGGTTGAGGACCCCGGCCTTAAAAAGCACCTGTGGGGGGGGGGGGAGTTGGATGGGAGGGGCCTGCGGTGCCGGGGACAGAAGGGTCAGTGCTCCCTCTAAGCTGAGTTAGTGTGAGCTAGCTCACAGATTGTTAGCCTCCAGCTCTCAGATTTTTGTCTTCGCTCAGGAAGGAGGGCTCCAGAGCAAGCTAATTTATGCAGTATCCAAATCACTCACTCGCAACTAATGCCAGCCGCTCACAAAGTAGAATATTTGCTCACAACTCTGCAGCTTAGAGGGAACATTGCTCTCCACACAGGCAGCGTCCATAATTCTGTTCCTCTGGCGGGTTTTTATCTCATCTGCCCAGGAATACGCCGACTCCCTCGGGGTGCCCTTCCTGGAGACGAGCGCCAAGAACGCCACCAACGTCGAGCAGGCCTTCCTCACCATGGCGGCGGAGATCAAGAACCGCGTGAGCAGCGGGCCCACCCAGAACGACAGCCACAAGCCCAACCTCCACATCCAGAGCGGCCCCTTGAGGCAAGACGGGCCGGGCAAAGGGGAAGAGGGAGGGGGAGGCTGCTGCTAGGGGAAGAACTGCCCGTGGATCGACTGAGCTGATGGTCCGGGGAGCGCACGGGCTAGCGACCCTTGGACCCCGGAAGTGGACACAGGCAATGAGACCCTCTCTTCATGGCATCCCAGCGTAACGTTTCTGGCTTGGGAACACATGGCGGGCCTTCCGTCCTGTCGGAAATCCTGCCTCGGCCGGTCCGTGTGCGCTTCTTTCCTTTCCCCACATCTTCAGACCCAAAATATCCATTTCTGTTCAGCAAACACCTTCTGACCCGACGCATCAACCTCGCACACCCGGCAAATGCTTCGATGAGTCTCTCGGGGCAATACGTACATGACACTGCCTTATATCGAATCAGACCCTCGGTCCATCAAAGTCAACATTGTCTTCTCAAGACCGGCAGTGGCTCTCCAGGGTCCCAGGCGGAGGTCTGTCGCGTCACCTACTGCCAAATCCTTTGGAGGTGCCGGGAATTGAACCGGGGACTTTCTGCATGCCAGGCAGGTGCATTACCACTGAGCCACGGGCCCCTCCCTAAAGGGAACTCACTGCTGCAAAGGATAACGGCAGCAAGGGGGAGAACTGTGACGCTCGCAAGAGGGAAGAGAGATGTTCGTTCTCCTTTCGCCCGTCTGGAATGTCCACAATCGCCCGGTTCCGAGCGTGTTTTCGATATCGTGAAACGCAGGCAAGTGACCGCTGCAACCTTCACAAAAATCTGCTTTTAAAAACCCAGTTTTGTTTCATTGTTGAAGGACGTTACATTAACCTGAAAGGACTGGTTTTCCTCACCCCCTCCTTCAATGTTATTACTGCCTTGCTAGCTCTGTGGACGTAACACTATAAACTCATATTGGTTTCACGCCACTAACCATGATTCCTGGGAACTGTAGTTTGTTGACAGCGCCAAGGATTTTCTGGCCCTTAGCTTGCCCACATCACAACACACACACACACACATAGTACCCACAATTTAGTGGGACAATGGAAAGAGGGTTAAAGGCTCACTTTCCCACACACACAACTGTATAGAGGGCCGGATCTCTTGTGCGCTCCTGACCACACGGGTATGGTAACCTTTACCGCCGCCACCATGCAATGGCTCAGGAGTCCAGAGTAACGAATCACAAGACCATTCGTGCTCGCTTTATTTTCAGAGGGCTCAGACCACCAGTTTTCCACGCAGCGGGTCTGTACTGGCCCTGACCCCACGGCTCCTAGGGGGCAGAAGACCGTCCTTAGAAATGGCAGCAATACACCTCCGGGTAAAGCCCATCCACTACTAGAATTATTTTTATTTAATCTTTGTTTCCTCTTCTTTGAAATAAGCAAGGTGCTATACTCACGGTCCATCTCACAGGGACATCAAGAAACCTGGTGAAATCCATGCTTTATTATTTTATTTTTTTTAAAGAAGAAATTTCTAGCCTCCTTGTTGTGTCATACGTGAGCAGTGTCTCCTGAAAGCTGACAAGGATTCCAGTGGTCAAGGGATAAGAGCTGGCGTCCTAACCAGTGTTCCCTCTAAGCTGAGTTAGTGACCTTCTTGTTATGTAATACGTGAGCCGTGTCTCCTGAAAGCTGACAAAGATTCCAGTGGTCAAGGGATAAGAGCTGGCGTCCTAACCAGTGTTCCCTCTAAGCTGAGTTAGTGCGAGCTAGCTTACAGTTTTTCAGCCTCCAGTTCACACATTTTTGTCTCTGCTCAGGAAGGAAGGCTCCAAAACAGACTGATTTATGCAGTGGCCAAATTGCTCGCTCACCACCTTAATGCCAGGAGCTCGCAAAGTTGAATTTTTGCTCACAGGACTCCACGGCTTAGAGGGAGCATTGCCAGAGTTGGCCAGTTCCCCTCTTAACCAAG